TTGACTATCTGAAACAATAATTTTATCAAAAAAAAAAATTACACAAAAATTTAAAATTCAATTTGCCCTCTTTCATATTAGTTTTCTATGAGAAGCAAAGGCACTGGGAAGTATTTCGAGGATAGCAACTTCTAGCAAAAACTATTCGATGGCAAGGCTTTCAGGATTTAGAATTTATTCTATCGAAATGCACCATTAGTTAGCAACTGAAGCTTGTTTCTAATATTTTGCACAATAATTGAAATTGATGCCAATGTTATTCCCTAAAAATCAAACATACCTCATTTAACTCTAATCGGCCCAGTCGGCCACGCTTGCTCAGTGGAATCGACTTGAATTCATCGATATCAATTGAAGATAGGACTTTCTGAAACAATGGTGCGGGTAATGAAGTAGGGGAATATTGCCCAAAACTGTTCCCGCAGCTTCGCTTCACTGCACCTTATCGCTCCCTCAATTCACTCCTTCTATGCCTTATTAGTTCAGTACTTCACACCAGTTATGCTTTTTCACTCGGATACTTCGCAAAAAAAAAAAAAAAAAATTATTACTTTAACAGTTTGTCGCTTCAGCCCAAGAAAAATTAAAGCAAATATAGATCAGTGGCTTTCAGAAAAATATACAATCAAAAAAAATAGTTTTTTGAAAATGTCCCATGTCTTTTCCGACAATTTTCGGCTTTTTTTGAAGTTTTTTTCAAGAGCGGTTCAATTTTTTTTTTGTTTTTTCTAAGTTTGTTAGCTCAAAAAATTGAAGATGGAGCACTGCTCGATTACACGTTCGAGTTTGGCACAAGTGTGAAGAATTCGAAAAAAAACAACAGAGAAAAAGAAGCCTTTAACTCCGAAACAAGAACAGAATGCCTTCGTTGAGTAACAACAGCTGCATGCTGGTTTTCGCTGGTTACGGACCTCTGCGTCGAAGAACTTGGCTTACTCACTTCCGAGTTCACATCCACGGCAGCGCCACCCAATTCCTGAAGAACGGAAATCGCAACAGAAAAAATGAATGCAAAGAAGCAATGGCAGGCCAGCAATAATCAAGAATGAGCAAACGCAAAAGTTAAGTCATAGGCGGATCCAGGACAGACTCCCGAGGGGCGAGGAGAAGCGAGGAGGGGGGAAGGGAGGTGGGGAGGAGAGTCCCCTCCCATCCTGGAACTATGCGAAAATTAGGAATAGAGTTGTAACATTGCTACTTAGAGTTACTTCAGGCTATAGTTTACTTTAGTTTTAGCTTTAGACCCCGACTTTTGCAGCACTGATGCCTGTGCCGTTGACGAGGAGGATGAAAAATTTTTCGCCCCCCCCCCTTTGGATTCGCCTATGAGTTAAGTAGGTGTACAGTGCCGATGAGGAAAATGTGTGAAAGTGATAATGGGGGTTTTATAAGAGGAGTGAAAAAGTTAAAAAAAAAAAAATAAAACGTGTACCTCAAAATAGGAAAATTTTTGCTCGGCATCCTTTTTTTCCAACTGTTTCAATTTTTCTTGCATCAGTTCGATTTCCATTATCATGTCGGCTAACTCTTTGTTTTTCTCCTCCAATTTTCTCGTCACTGAAAAACTACGATTGAATTTGTTTTAAAAATAAATAAAAATCGCACAGAAAAAGGATCAGTAATAGGATGGTGAAAATGAAGAAAATATTAATAATCATTCAGTTACGGCGATTGTTAGATAGTTTGATTGGGGAAGAAGAGCCTAACTGATAGCCCAGTAATGGAAAGAGAAGGGATTCAGGAGGAAGATAAAAGAAAATAGGAAGGAAAAAGACTGTAATCCACAATTAAGTCATTGAATTAATAAATAATCGTCTGGAATAGGTTAAACCATGGCTTGATCCTCTACAGCTAGCAACTTCATCATCAGGTGCGAAAAGCTTGGTTAGCGTGTAGTTGCTGTTGGTGTCGCGGAAAACCCATAAAAAGACGACCAAAGAATCTTCACAAAGAAAAAAAAGAAGGTGCATCTTGTCTTGAAAGGCAGATACGCAGTAGATGTGCTGCCAGACTGAACCTGGAGTGCAAGGGCCGGTGGTGTAGTGGTAACACATTGCGTCCGGACATGACGACGAGTGGTTCGATTCCGTCCCGGTCCGCGTCGGTTTTTGATAAAAGGGTCCGTTCACGACAGCTGGCACTGGCTATCACTCAGGCCACTCACCTAATATTTTAGCCACAGATAGCGAATAGGAAGGCGTTCTGACTTCGTTAAATCAAGTTTTGACCTACCAAAAGGTCGCCAGCTACAGAAATGGAGATCCAGGCTATAGCTGCATAAACACAAATTTTAAATTATTACAAAGTATCTGTACATTTCCCATAGTCCAATTACATTCTGTCCCATAACGTATATATTTTACATGCTTTGTCAGAACTTAGTATTATACATATACATATACATGTATATATATGTGTGTATATATGTATGTACATATGATTAATAATAACTGAAACATAATTAATTGAAGTAAAAAATGTAAAATAATTCATACTGAAATATTTTTATGTTAATCAAAATATAATTAACTGATTGAAATGTCATTTATTTTTATTACATATGTCCAAATACTTACTTAGTTGAAATATCATTGGTTGAGATATGATTGAAACGGTTTTTATTACATATTATTTTTTATTACTTATTTTTTATTACATACATATAATTATAATTAAAACTTTGCATGTAAAAGATACATATATTTACATACATGCAAATATGCAGGCTATCACACTTACGCACATACATACATACACACATACACACGTCTATACATACATACATACATGCATACATACATACACACATACATACATACATACATACATGCATGCATACACATATATATATATATATACATGTATATATATATAT